TATTTATATTTTTTATAACAATCATTCATATTTTTGTTATTAAAATTTGGTGTTTATCATACCAGTATTTCTATCACATTTTTCACAAAAATAATTCGGTGCATATTTCATGCATAAATATTTAAGCTTCTCAAATGAATAAAATGAAAATCCTGCATATGGAATCATGCCAAAAATAGTTGGCCAAAACCCCCTGTACAATGCTCGAATACCACCTTCCTGAAAGATTCAATAATATTAGTAGTGAAATAGAATATCTTAAATTCACCATTGAAGTTGAAAAAAAAATTGGAGAATATAAAATATCAATAGGTCACCAATGTATTTATAACTTATCTAACATTTCTTATCTTTTGTAGAAAACAATCAAAGTTCAACAAAACTGTTTAAACTCTGCACCCTATTTGAAGCCCATATTAACATTTCTTATAATAATAAAATAATGAAGTTAAAACACAAGCCAATACAACTTACCTTTTTAAAAATTGTGATGCCTGCATGTATAATTCCTATGTAAAGATGTTCTCCAGTAACTTGGAATGCAAGCCTGGCTCTAATAATGTCAAGTGGATATGTTAATGTAACTGCTGTAACACCAGCTGCAGATCCAGCCAGGAATTTATCTATATGGGTATGCTTTCCAAATAAGCCACCTAAATACTGGTAAAAATTAAAGATGACTTAATATGTTTATAATCCTATGGATTTCTTAAATTTTTTCAACATAAAAATGTTTCATTTGTCTCCCCTAGTTATAAGCCATATACCTTTTTTTATATCTCTATGATTTAATTAAATATGTGTATATGTATATGTATGCATCTGCATACATAATTCCAAAAGTGAATCTATATTGTTAAAATTCACCTTTAAATTATGAGTATGTCTTTATATTAATAACGGTTACTTCGCACTGTGGAACCACTTTACCCAGAACAAATAGATATTATTTTTTTAACTGTTTTACCATAAATAATTAAGGATTGGGTGGTAATTACCTTTTTATATAATTCAAATGTAGTATATTGTGTTGCAGCATAAGGAAAAATTCTGATCATTTGAGCAAAATTTCCTTTGTAAAGAGCAAAAAATCGTTCACGTTGGACAACTTCTTTCAATCCAGAAAGAACACCTAAAATGTAACAATGTACTTCATATAATTTTTGAATTTATTACTTTGAAATATTATCTTCTTCTTCTTACCTAAGTGTTTATAGTGTTTACTATGTGCTTGCAATAATATTTTTATTCTATCTAATGGAGCCACTGTTGTTTTTGAACACATTCCAGCTACTCCTATGAATTATTTGTTTATAGTAAAATATTTATTATTAAATGATCTAGCTATATTTTACATTTTTCAAAATGAATTGCTATTATTTTTTGAGGATAAACAAAATTTCCATGTATTAATATCATGTATATTGGTTTAAATATGGATAAAAATTGTAAAACAATCTATAAAACGTTGATAATAAATTACCAACACATTATTCAATTCTGTTGATGTAAATAAAAGCTGTATAGTGTTCTATAAATGCTGACAAAATATAAAAACTGTATAATAGTTAAACAAAAATATATTCTTTAAATATAAAAAAACAATTAACTTACCACCGGCAATTAAATGTTTCAACAAAACTCCATAATCCCTCTCGGATTCGACACGAAATGCCATTTTTAAACCGTTGACATAGGTTGCAAATATTGAACTGAAGTAGATCAAAGCACCTGTCACGGTAGACTACAGAACTGATACTGTTCCATCGCGTGGTTGTCGGTAATGAGGTCACCGACTTTGTCTTACTTTTCTTATTTGTGTTAAAAACACCAGATATTTAGGTTATGATATTCAGAAATTTTGTACTTTCACCATAGATGATGTCTAGAATTCGTACTTCGTCTATGTTGATAGATCTGTTCTGTATCTCGTTTCTGCTTTCACCAACATTACGATAATTAGTAAACAATATTTTCAGAATAAATATCTTCAGTTATAGGATTAAATAATTTTTATTAAATAGGAAGTATTTCTATGCTTTATAGATTTTATTACAACAAAAGAAATTTGATCAAATTTTTGAAATTATTTAATT